TTTCATTATCCAGATGTGTGTGTGTGTATTTACATATATAGTTATATTTTGCTATTTGGAATGTGGTATTCCTTGGAAGCACAACCCTGTTTGCATTATAGGTATGTCTAGCTGAGTCTGGTACATTAAGGAAAGTGATGTTGAAATATTAAAACCTTTGTTGATGTTCAAGTGCTGTGGGTATAATGATCCGAGGTATAGAATTAGCATAGCCGTCATGCTAGTAATTGAGTTAAATGTGTATAAAATTAGCCAGTAATTGAGTTAAAGGTACAGAATTAGCCAGTTGGTTTTATGATCAAGGTCTACTGATTTTCCTATGTGAAAGATTTAAAAGTTTTGGTTCTCATTGAGTTAAATAATGTGGTCCAACCTTCATTTTGTCTGGAATATCTTTCAACTAGCTCCTCCTCCTGTGATTGGACTTGAAAGCATGCTTGCATCAGATTAACAGATGAATGAAGTTAACTGCTCACATAGTAGAAAGTGAGGATAAGTTTGTTGAAGGAATCATTGTCGAAGAAAAGGGAAAGTCAATTAAGCAAAAAAGTTCCAGAAATTGTGGAATTATTATTATTAATAATCCTTTTTAAGGAAAAAGTGGAACTATTATATTTCCGACTTGTAAGGTTTTTGTTCCTTGTGAAATTTATGTGTATATAAAATGTTGTACCAATGCAGGGGATGTTTTGATATGTGTGAAGATGACATAACTGCTAGTAGTCCAAGTTGGGAAGATACTATGCAATCAGAGTCTAATCAGCAGAATGATATGCTGTCACTAGCGAAAATTGAGGACCAAGAAGGTGGAAAAGATGATGGTGAGAATCTGCGACAGAGTAGCTCCTTGCCACGTTCTGTTATTCCTGGGCATAAAAAGTTTTTTAGTGGTTCACTGCTACAGGATAACGCTCTTTCACCCAAAAAAGTTGTTACTGATGGAGAGAGGTATATTTATTTGTTGTGTTCACAATTGAACTGCTAGAGTTGGTCAACGTTTTCTGAAAACAAAAAACAGTTGCAATATGGATGAAGATAGCTATTATAGGATGGTAATACTACTAATTTGCTAGTAGATCATGGTATTCTCTCAAAAAGAAAGGAAGGGCATTGAAAATGTGCAACCCCAAGTTAGTCGATGCTTGTTCTTGAAGTAAATGTTATTCAGTTGAAATTTTCTAAAAAAAAACATCTGCAAAGATTACTAACCAGTAACCAGGAAGTAGTGGGATTCTTGTGCTTTATGGGTTCTGAATATTCTGAGTGTTCTAATTGTGTAATGCGGGTGAATTGTTTGAGTACTTAGGTGCTTCAAGTTCCTGCCAATTTTACTTATAATTTTGACATCAGTGATGATAGTTTTTCTAGAATGCACTTTATCTACGACCTACATGGTTCGAGTTTTGATGTTAGCTGCATGTAGAACTTTTTGTTGGAGTCCGTGTCATCTTAAAATCACATGCAATGATTGGCAATGGTTCAGTCTACATTTTCCATATTTCGAGCAGTAAATTGTTGTTTCAAGCTGTGTTACATTGTTTAGTTCTATATGTAGGGAATATCAACATCCGAAGTACCAGTCTGAGCGAAACTATAGCGGCCCATTGCAGTACCGACATAAAAAAGATTTAGGTAATCCGGTTTCTGACAATGAATTTAGACTGCGTGATGTTTAAAAAACACAAATTCCTCCAGATTATTATGAGTTCTGATTTTCTAAATGACTTTGTTTTGTTACCTTCCCTTCTGAGTCTCTGGATAATGCTTGTCGCAGGAGAAGATTCATCAGAAGGAGCTGTTGTCCAACGCAAGGGACGTTTTCAAGTCACATCAGCAGATCTAAGTCCCAAGGTATATATACTGTGCCTTCTTGCATTGATTGTCAGGTCAGCTATAATAATGCATTATGAAGGGGAGTTTTCTTCAGTGACCAGATTCCGTCTATAATACATGTGAATTAACACCAAATCACTTGCAAAATGAAAAAAAAAAAAACCAAATCACTTGCAAAATTTTTAAAAACACACACACACACACACAAATCACTAGTGCATACAAACATTGGTTTATTCAAGGATATGAACAACAAGAGTGGAAAAGGTTGGGTTAGGGGGTAGACTGTGGATAACCTTTAGACTGTTGTGTTTTTTGATGACCATGCTTTGTTTTCTTGTTACAAGTATTCCTCATACCTTCCTAAGTGATTGTTACCTGTGCCAAATCCCGTTTAATATAAGTGAAGCTGAAGATTTGCCGCTTTGTTGATCACCAAGAAAAAAAATTCCTTCATTGTGTTTAGCATTTAGTGGCAATATTTTCCTTCCACATACTTGAGTTTATAGTGCATTTAGAGCGCAATATTTGTTCATGATTTATCCAATAAAATCATTTTTTTTCTTCATAAAAAAAGAAAAGAAAAATCCATCCAGGTTGGTTTGGGAAAAAATTGTTCTTTGGTTTTTGTCGGATTCTGAGCTTTTCTATTAAAGATCTCTTAATTAAGAGGAGTGAAACTTTCTATGTAAGAGTTAAGACCGTTTGCTTTGTGACATGAGCATAAAATGATTTGTCAGGGAATTTGCTTTTTAGTTCTTTCTGCTGCTGTCTCCTTTCTATTTCCTTAATAAAGTTGCATTCTGCATGGGTTTCTTTAGTTTCACTTTCAGCATTGACTTCCCTGTTTGGTGTTCTCATGGTAAGTATCAAACTTAGCAATCTCTCTTTAGGCGATGGCTTCGTAACCATTGCCTCTTTTTTTTTTTCACTTGTTCAGGAACCTACAAGCTATTTCTTTAACCCAGTTCAGGGAGGTTCTACTAGTGCAATTAATCTAGGTCTAGCAGCTGCTTCACTACTTCCAACATTGCAATGCATTCTACAGCAGAATACTTTGCAAAGGGTAATTTCTACTACATCAAAATCTTGTGCATCACTGTTGCCTGTTGCTAATCTGTTCTGCATCTTGTTAGGAGGAATTAGTGAAGCTGATCAAGTTCGCAGAGCGAGGATCTGGTAAATTATCTATTTACATTTGGTCCACATTTGACCACTTCTCCTTTCGATGTTGAATGTTAACTATATTTATGTGTTGCCCCTGACCGGCTTGTTATTTACATCTGTTTCAGTCAACCCTATAGACTTGGCTGAAGCTGGGACCAGTGATCTTCTGCAGGTAATTGTTTGTTTGTTTGTTATGTAATATGATACTAGAAATGGTGCCAAGTTGTTTTGAAAATTACGTATTTTTAATTATTAAAAGAGATAAGACCAAGCAATTAGGAAATAGAGTGTTGTAGGGATACCAGTTATCCCTTTGACCATTATTATAATGTGAGACTGGGGTTTATATTGAGTCTTGACTCTTTTTCCATCAAGGCCTAAGGGGTTAGAAGTTAGAACTTTTATAGTGAAGGAAGGGGTTGGGGTTGGGGTGGTGTGCCCTATCCCATGCATGAGTGTGTAAAAGAAATGCATGGTGTATGTCTGAATTATGTCACGCTCCTGCATCCTCCTAACATCAGCACTTCCATTCTGCAGATGCCTGCTACTTCTGTTAGGGAGAGAGAACTGCAATCAATGGTCATTCAATTGCAACAAAGGTATGATATTCGTTGACAAATTTGAACTTGGTTGCTTGTTATGGAAAACTGAAGGCTCATCAATTTTCAGCATTGGAAGTCTTGTGGAAGAGTTGCAGAGACAAAAGATGAAAAATGTTCAGGTATGTGCTGTACAATTGTCGGGGAAGTCCTTTCCTTTATTTTCTTCCAAAGATCTGATTTTTTTAGAACAAAGTTGAAAACGGAAAATGAAAATGCAGTGCTGCTTTATTCTTGCACTGTTATTATAAAATTTCCAAGAAACCATTGATGACATGTTTTTCTCAAGTTGTCATTTCTGGCTTGCAGTTGGAAAAGAAATTGAATCGCTGATAAAAACTAGAGGATATGAAGGCTACACTACATGGTTGGTGAAGTTACTACACATGCTTGTGCTGGGGCACATCGTTAAGTTACTTGGCGAGTGGGTTGTATTTTTTGTGTACCATATGTGTGAATGTAAAGTAGGCACCCAAATTTTGAGATGCTATTCATTGTCAGAATCTTGATTATCTATTGTAATATACCAATTGGGTATTGTATTTAAGTTGTCCTTCAATATTAATTGAAATTCTAGGAGCAAAAAAAATGCAGCTTGTGTAAATCACCCTTGCGAAACCCAGACCCTTGTTCCGAAATAAACCTAATAAACCTCTATGGAGGAGTTTGGTCCATTTGATATTCCTAGTGTTGATATTTTGAGTTGTTGATTATGTAACTTATATGTCAGATTTTTATTTTTTATGTTAAAGATAGCTGTTTTTTTTTCCTTTGTTTGGGGGTGTTAGCTAGGAGAGCTTTAAGTGGATAAAGAAAGGTCAAATAACTCCCAAAATTCCATCAAAGATACTTTTTGGCGTGATTGTTTAAAAAATCAAAAAAGGCGCCGCTGCCGGGGATCGAACCCGGGTCACCCGCGTGACAGGCGGGAATACTTACCACTATACTACAACGACATTGTTGTCTAACAACTGCTTTACAAAATATTAGACTGTTGTTAATCGAAAAATGGTTATTTGAAAGTTGAAGTTTTGTGGGTAAAAATTTCTAAAATGTGTTTACCAAATTTTATACTTCATGCTTAAAGTTGTAATAATGAGTTACTCTGACAAACACTTGATTATTCGAAATCATGGCCAAATAACTATTTATAAGTTCATGCGTGAAACTGGATAATATAACCAGTGATTGGGAAAACTTGTGGCGCAAATGTATTGAAAAGTTCAATCTTTTCTTTGACATGAAAGTAATTTTTTAAGGTTTGTGCACCATAAAAAGATAATCCTCGTTAGAATTGTTTGAAAAAGAGAGAACAAATCGCGATCTTCGTTTGCACCAAAACACTAGAATGATCACAATAAATGCATTTATAAAGACGAGTCGTAAAGCCCCTCTTTCAATAAGGACACCAATAGAAACACTTTTTTTACAGTCTAGAGAAGTCTTGCTGATAATAGAACATCATTAAGGAGTAAGCATAAACACTTCACAGGACTGAATTAATCATTAAGTTTCTCTCTTCTGGCTATAACAACTATGAACAATCCAAAATTGACAGAGTATAGGTCACCAAAGGCAGTTCTCAGTGACAGCCGAAACGATACCCTTCAAAGTGGGCTGCATATAAAAAGAATGCAATGAATTAAAGGGAAGAAACACTTCTACGTGCAAAGAGAGTAAAATATCTGCATGTTACTAACCAGAGAATGGTCGCGTAGTCCAAGAGATAAAACCAAAGACCTAGAAGATCCGGCATTACTGCAAATAAGCAAGGTTTGGATTAGTAGAGAAATATCAGTATCTGATTCAGGTATCATCCCTCACAGAGAGTCGAAATCTTAATAAATTTCAGTTCCCGTAAGTACCTTATGTGCTCAATAATCTGCCGAGCACATGCAACCAGCATGGGCTGCAGAGAAAAATGCAGTTTATCAAGTTTATAATTATATACAAAACGACATGAAATTACTGCAGTATATTATAAAATACCTCATCGCGTTTACCCAGTAATACAGAAACACTAAAGGTTGGATGGATCGACACCCCTTCCTCCTTCCTGCACAGCAAGACTACATACCTTACTTCTTTTATATGACAAAACTCTTTCCAACTGAGTGACGAGATCCAATTATAAAAACAACTCAACTACAAGCTATAAGATCTCTCAAGTCATGCTCAGAGTACAACAATAGGCAGAACAAGTGAAACTCAAAAGCAAATATGGCTTAATAGGCAATAGCAACTTAAAGATAGATTGATTGATTTCATATAGCATAGATCACATAAATAGCATCTACAGGCTTCAGTTTAGAAGTTCATTTTCTGCACAAACCAAATCCATGCTCATCAAAAGAACTCTGAAAACACCAATATATAAGCAAGAACAGCTTCACAAAAACGATTCATACCTGGCCTGCAATATTGTACCCATGCTTCCTATTTGAGTAGCTATAACCTGAAAATAACAATTAAGACTTAATAATGCTCATATGTGGCAAAAACCAAATCAGGTGTTTCTGACTTACCATAAAATGGTCATCATAGGCACATATGACTATATCTGTTTTATTTCCCTGCATACATGAAAGATAATTTAGCTCAAAAGAGAGTAGAAAAAACGAGAAATATTTCGCAATATACCTCTATAGTGAAATTCCTTAAGGAGAGCTTAAAGATTCGGGCTCACAAAACCCGTCTCTACCATATTTATTAACAGTGACATTCTTCTGCAAAGTCTCTTTCCCATCATTCATTCTCCATAGCGAATTTGCAAAGAAGATTTTTACTGTGAAGTCTAAGGTTTCTCACTCCAAGTCTTACCTCTTTCTTACTTCTCATCACAAGATCCCTTTACATTACTTTTTTTTTTCCTTTTTCCTCTTCTTATTATTTTTGTTGATAAGGTAACCTGCAGTCACTACCTTTCAAGTGTGCACAAGTTAAACCCTACTTTAGTGTAATAGTCGGCAAACCACACATGATAGTTAAACCGCACTATGCAAACATGTGTGATTAGCTCCACCAGGAAAGCATGGAGGGGATTTTCAATCATTTGGGAGATCAGCTGCTAAACCAACTCGATCACCTTTGCAGAATTTTTCTTTTTTCCTCTTAATTTAATTATGGTTGTGCTTTACTGTTCTTTTTCATCAAATGCGGAGAAATACATCAATCAATCAATCAACTAGGTCCATAATATAGTCCTTTTTTGGAAAAATTTTGATTTGACATTCATTTTGAAACAACTTAATCAGACCAGAAAAATTCAAACAATCATGTATTACACAAAAAGCAACAGAGCTAATTACAAAAAAATAGAAATATTTCAATGTGAAAGAAAGGGTAAAATGTTGAGCTATGCCTTAATATCGAGTGAAAGCTTCTTCTGCTGGACTGGGATTTCCATAGCTTCCTTTCCTCTTCCCCTTACAAAATAAAAACAATTCACATTAACAAAAAGGTTCCTAAAAGCAGAAGAAAAAACGAAAAGAACTTCCAATTTGTCTACATAATAGCTTTTTTTTTCCCTTCATTTTTCCATTTTCCGTATTAGGGTTTATGTAAATACCTGGAAGAACTGAGGTTTAAGCAAAAATGGAGGTGGTAAATTCGAAAGGCTCTGAGCTTGGCGTGTTATTGAAGACTAGCAATGGCGATGGAAAGGGAGAAGTACTGAGTCGCATTGATGGGCCGGGTACCGAAACAGTCGGGCCTCGCAATTGGTGATAACTGGTGAAAGCCCAAAGTATTGACCCATTTAGGATGCATAAGCCCAAGTTGGGTGAGGGGATATGGAGGGAAAAAACTTACCCTCACCAGGTGTTTATACCAAGCCAATGCAATTTCCATTATTATGTGATTTAATGAAATAAATGAACTATAAATTTAAACACATGACATGCATGTATTGGCTTGGTGTAAACACTCGATGCAGGTAAGTTTTACCCCATATGGAGGGACTCGGCTAATTTTAACCAATTGTCTCTTTTTAGGCTACTATTTAAATTTTCCTCCAATTTTAAAAATTTGGAAATATAACTTGAAAAATTGTACGTTAAGACTCTGATCTAATATTTGTTTATAGGGAAATCTTAGTAGTTTAATTGGTTAGCTACCTGATTTCTCATTTTGTTGGTGGGGATTTGATCCTACTATTGTAATCTTCTCCCCCATTTCCCCTTCCCCACTTCCAGTTTATTAAAAAAAGTAATACTCCGTAGTAATTATAAAATACTATTTGTTTATACTCTATATATTGCTCAACTTTACAAATAAAATATATATTGTCGTCTAACATTTACGGTAAGTTAAAATTTTTTAGATTATATTCTAATATTTTCAATTTAATCAAAAATAAACTTTAGAATATGGTTTTAGAAGTTTATAAATTATGAGAAAAAAACAAGGAACATTTATTAAATAGATATCCTAAAGGGATAACCAAAGAAAATTTAAGACGTCAGTCTAAGAGCATGTTTGGATTGACTTAAAAAAAATAGTTTTTAAGTCAAAAATAAAAAGTCAAACTGAAATAATTTTTAAGTCAAAAAATCAAAAGTAGGGGAGACTTAATACTTTTGATTTCTGACTTATTTTAAGTCACTTTTTACTTATTTTAAGTCATTTTTTTATTTTGCCAAACACTTCGTAACTTATTTTAAGTTATTTTTGACTTATTTTAAGTCATTTTTATGTGCCCGTTTGGATTGACTTATTTTAGGTGCTTTTAAGCCAAAATAGTTTTTAAGCAATTTTGAAGTGTTTGAATAAAGTTAAAAAGTGCTTATAAGCACTTATTTTAAAGCCAAAATAACAAAAATAAGTCATAAGTTAGAAATCCTAACTTATGGCTTTTGGCTTATAAGTCATAAGCCAAAAGTCAATCCAACACATGCCCTATATTTGTCAAACATTTTCAGAAGTCAAAAACTGATTTAAAAATAGGTTTAACCGACTTTTAAGCCAATCAAAATGGGCTCTAATGCTTTCCTTTATTATTTCAACGGGCAATACTTGTAGGACTTCTAAAAATAGCCTTAAATGGATATTTGTGTAAATCAAAATGGTTCTTGCCTCTTCTTTTTCGGTTTTTGTTCGTGTGTGTGTTAATAATGAATAATAAAAACAACAGAAATGGATTAAAGGAAAAGACAAAGGAAGTCCAAAACTCAAATCACCTTATATCTTGGTTAAGGATAATAACAGTTGAGTCTAATTTAACTCTAAAAAATAGTAGCTCAGTAACGATTGTTCTAGTTCATACAAGTAGATTATTAATCCATTTTTCAATCAATGTAGGATATTAATTCACTCTATAACATACACCTCCACACACACGTCACGTCCAAAAGGCCCAAATGAAATGTGGATCGAGAGCTCAAATAGGAATGGACCTGATTCTAATACTCTATACATATATTACATATCTCAATCTTAATAGCTAATTTATGAGAGAAAATTATTCAAATTCATATAAAATAACCGTCAATTTATTCTTCAACCAATGTAAAACATTAACCGCTCTTATAATATATTTTTTGTCACAAAACTAATTAATTTGTAAATAAGAAAGACCTGGGCTCTTCTTGTACACATTTTGAATCAAGTAAAAATGAGGAGCATTTGATGCCACGTTAACATTAACCCCCATGATGAGGATGACATGAAAATGACACACAACTAAGCAACAAGAAACCCCATATGACTAATCGCCGTCAGCTAACAATCACGTTCACTTCAAGTGGGAATTATAAAGAGACAAAATAATCAAAGATTGTGAGCAATTCAAAAGCTTCCTTTCAAACTCTACTTCGTCTCTAATTAATTGCTCACTTTTAAATTAGTACACCTATTAAGAAAATAATTATTAATATAGTATATCATCTAAAAATATGACACATCGGCATAACTCAGCCCCAAAAGCTAGCTCTTGAGGGAGGTTTGTCCAAGTACATATAAAGAGACCAATTTCCCATCCCTCTACCGATGTGGGATCTTAACAGTGAATTTACTATTTCACCCATATTGCTTATGAAGTTGATGAATTAAAAGTTTAAGATTTTTAAGAAGTTTTATTTTTTTCAAAGTAATTAATTGAAGGTATAATAGATTAAAAAAAATTACTTCCTCGATTTGTCAAATGGACAGATGAAAAGGGATAAGTAAAAAAAAGTGGACAAAAAATTAAGAAAAGAGAAGTATTTTCCAAGCCATTATTAGTTTATACACGAAAAATCTTATCCGCATTCAATGATTAACACTGTGTTAATTCATTACAATTTATGTAAATTAGTTATGATTAGATAAAAGTACAATATACATAAAAATAAATATATGTATTTATTGATTTGATATAAAGGTGTGAAAGTTTTTATTTTCTTTCTAATATGCAAGTACTAGTACTTGGGTTCAGCGTAGATCATTTGGTCTTAGTATTTTCCCCGCCGAGGGAAAAGCCCAAAATAATCTATTATTTTTGAGTTAAAATTCAAAGTCATCATTGAGTTTTCATATGAAGCAGTACTTTTGTTCCTCCTCAACTTTTTGCTTACTTTTTAATATTTATTTTATGCACAATTTTATATATGAAATATTCAATTATTTTTTTATATATTTAATAGAAATAATAACTCCGGCTAAAGAATGTGGGAAAAAAAAGTACGTACGTTGTTCCATTCGGTATAGATCTCCTAGTGAACATCTACCATTCTATCTGTCAACGCACTCATCAACCACCTGGTTGTTGAGGGTCATTACACGTGACTCAATTAGAAACCTTAATTGTTTCTTCTCATAAAATGTTTTTTCAATAATAATTTTGACATATTATGGAAAATTAAACTTACAAATGAACATTTTGCAAGACGTTCTCAAAAATAAAATAAAATAAAATCGAAACACTTAATGTTCTGAAAAGTTTTTTGGAGGATTCTATTTGTAAAAACGTTCAATAACTTTTTTGGTACTTGGCGGCGACTTAGCTTACTCATCATTTATTTACGTATGATAGGCGTATATGGAATCTATATATATCTATATAAAGAAAGAACATAGAGAAGATGATGTGGCACCTCTTTATAACCTTCATTTATAATTATTTATTTTTCTCTTTTTTTATATATATTTTTTCTTTTTTTTTTCAATTATTTTTTTCTTGCAAAATCATCTTTTTAACTTATACCTTTTCAATTATATAAATTCCATTCTTAAATTAGTATTAATAATGTTCATAACTCCCAAACCCTTCATATTCATAACCTCTCAAGCCTTTTATATTCATAACCTTTAATTATTTAATGTAGAAGGTTATATTAACACTATAAAAGCACACTAAAATTTTGTGTTATTTTGTAGTCATCTTCGGTTAGAGAATTAGTGGCAAATATGTTACAATATTTTTAAGCTTTGAGGTGCATTATCTTTTCCAAGTATAATTTCATATATTACTTTTAATTAGCAAGTAAGGCTAATATGTCAAAGTATTTTTTTGTTTCTTCTGGATAAATTATTTTGATTTGTCATCTTTATGATTCTCTTTATAACCATAAAGATGGAGATTCATTTTAGGATTAACAATTTGTTATTATTTTTCTTGACTCTTGTATATAGGATGAAATGAAATCATCCAAAGATGGAGATTAATGGATTTTGCACTATATAGATTGATTATTCTTTATTTTTTTAGGTGCTTAAGAAGTAGTGTTTCTATTATATTATTTCCTTTTGAATTATTTATGTTTTGTAAAAAATGATTAGATGTGTAAGAGGACTTATGATTAAATGCAATTCTCTCCTTATTCTTTGTCTTTCTCTTTTTTTTGCTAGATAGTTTTCAACTTATTTGATCATATTTTGCATATTATAGGAGACATATCTATAATGAAAATGGTTAGACATTCTTGCATAATTTGATTTTACAAGGTAAAATAATTTGATATGTCTAATATAATTACAACTCTTTTTTTTGTTGAAATCATACATTTAATATTATTTGTTTGTGTTCGTGAAGATATAAATTCTGAGTTCTTTTTTAAAAAATATTTTATTTATTCTCTTTAGACCTCTATGTAATTCTTAGATAATTTGATTATATTATATTGATAACACTCTTCAAAAAATATATTTGTTCAGATAAATTTATCTCTCACTTTTTTGTTGATAATATTAGTTTATTGTGTTTGTGGGCTATAATATTTTAAAACATAGAAGCAGGAAATGAGTCAATGGATATCGATATGCTACTTAAAGAAATGCGTACATATACTTTCATAATCTGGTGTAACAATTTTTATTAACAAAAATGATAGAACAGAAGAATGTAAAGTTAATATATAATTTTGAAAATACATTTTGTTTTATTAAAAATAAATTATTTATTAATGTGTAAAATTGCAGTCTTTAAATTTTTCATTTTTGTTGTTTTCTAAGAGATTTCAAGTTGTTTATTAATAAGTCAAGTTGCAGTATTTATATTTTTCATTTTTGTTGTTTTCTAGGAGTTCTCAAGTTATTTCAAAATTGCGATTAATTTATAATTTTAAAAATACAGTTGATTTTCTTGCTTTCTATTTACTTATAATAAAATATTTGTCTCAATAACTCTAATTTGATTGTCTTTTCATTTTCTATAATTAATGTTCTTCATTAGTGTAATAATGAACAAATATTACTCCTATTATGTTACAAACAATTCCAAAGCCACATTCTTAATCCTCTTAATTATTGTGACTCTTTATTCTTAGGAATTTATTATATTGAATGTAATATTTATTTAAAATTTCAAATATACTTTTTAATATTTTTGTGTTTAAGCCAAGCAAAATTAAAAGAAATAGGAATTTGCATGTGTCATTTTTTTTGAATCTTTTTTGCATAGTGAATTCTCTTTTTTGTTCTCTTTTATGTTCCATTTTTAAATTTATTTTCTTACATTCTTTTGTTTTTCTAATATAACTTGTCCCAAAAAATAATTGGGTATCTCAACCTAAATATAATAATAATATATTAAGATATGGAAACTAACTAATTAAGATTGTTATTTTTCATCATTTAAATATGTAAGCTTATTTTTATTTAAAATTCAATTATTAAAAAGTTATTAATTAAATATTAAATTAATCTAATATTTTACAATAAAAATAATTAAAATATGTGATGATTGGGTGATGACGACGACAAGTAATAATAATTGTGGATAATGATTAAAAATAGTGTTGGCTAACAATGTAGTCATGGATGATAACTATTAATGGCAATCTGAGTTTACACATTGTCGAAAAATTATACTAAGAATATAATTAAAAAGATTACAAAGAAGCAGAAAAGAACGATCAGATTTCAAGTTTACATAAATATAGATAAATTATGCTAAAAAAGATCCCAAATAAAAAAGAAAAAAACAATCCCATCTCAAGTTTACATTCTAGTAGTTCTAATATTACCTTCTCTTTTTCTCTATGAAATTTATTTTTAATATTTACCTTTCAGAAGTATACATATACTGATTTCTTAATGAATTTCATATTTAACCTAAATATTTTCCATACCTTCTCTTCTATGATATTATGTGATTAATAAAAAATTTCTTTTATTAAAGTAATTACTGATATTAGTATGTAACTTTATTTTAATTCTTTTCATAATTGCGCATAGCGCAGCCAAGTACACTAGTTTAAGATATAAATTTGATCGATTTGATTTTTAAGTTCTTATCATTTAATCTAATTAATTTTAAAAACTATGATCCAAAATTAATATTTATCTTTAAAAATAATAAATATAGTTATTTTCATTTCATGGGTGTTAGGATCGCTTTAACATATTGACTATATGTTATAGAATCGAGTAGTATTAGTTGTAAATATACACAATTAATTTAATTATATAAAAAAATTATAGTAATATTATTATTTTTTAGGAATCTCCAATGTGACAGACTTAATTTTTTTTAAGGAGCTACTAATAATTATTTAGAAAGATGCCACACAATTTTAAAAGAAAAAAAAAAGATAACTATAAGATTTAAAATTTCTAACCTCAATTAAAAGATACATTTAATCTTCATCCATTGTGTGGTACTTTGAGACTTGCACATAGTTATAGTTAAGTAATTTTTAAAATACACACATATATATCACTAATTTAGAGAATTATATATATATATAGATTCACAAGGTAAGCCCACCTAGATACACCCATGATCCATAAACATTACTTCTACATCATTCTAGCAATGTACAGCCCTCGCTATTTAGGGAAAATTTTCAAAATGTCAATATTTTAACATTTAATAGGATCCATTGTCAACACTTTCAATATTTAGTCAAAATGTCAAAAAATAGTTTATTATGTATCGTATTTAAGTTTTTATTATTTGTTTTAATTGAAAGAATACAATTGTTAAATAGCAGAAATGAGAAATTTAGGGGAAAAGATAATTTTAAAAAGGAACAATCCCTTAAAAGTCTCATCAGTTACAAAGTTAAACTGAATACTTCATCGGCGACCCCATTGTTGATCAATTTTCTCATTATCGATATTCAAGATTCAATTGAAAATATTCAGATCAATTTATTTTGATTAAAATCTTCTTCTTTTTTCAGTTTGGTAAGATAGATTTGAACGAAATAAGACAAAAAAAAATTGTTGACAAACAACTTTGGAGATGGATTTTTCTGCTGGAAGTTCGATAAAATTGGTGGAATACAAATTGGACCATGTATTAGTTAATTGCTTCATCCTTAATCTGTTTCTAATTGATTATAGTTTTGATATAAATTTTATACATAATTGTAAATTGTATCTATTTTCATTGTAAATTGTATGTATTATGAACAACGTATGAATAATTAGTTTTGGTGGATTCGTTGAATTTTTTTGCTTGTTGAATACGAAAATAATAATGGATTGTTTGAAGACATGTTTTTTTCATTGGCTGTTTGCTTTTAATTTTTCAAATCAAATCGTATCCCTACGAAAAACAAATTGGAGCGAGTACAATTTTTTACGACAATTGTACTGTTTTCTGTTTATTGAACTACATTATATCTTAGAAACCACGTCATATAAATACAAATTTATACCATAATGTAACTTATAATCCACACCAGACAAATACAATAATTATTATGATATAATGAATACACCAAATATGCTATACTGATTTAAAATGAATACAAATGTATAAAGTTAATATGTATCTTAACTTGACTGGATACAAACAACACTCTTGCAATGTCCATAACTAGAAAATGATACACATAGCATAATGAATGCAAACACATGTAAATACAGTAACTTGTAAAGCTCATAACACAATCACAAACAAATATGCCATAATGAATACAAAACAATCAAATAATAAGGAGTGAATACAATCTGAAATATCAACACCATTTGTTTTAAAGGAATACAAATGTATAAGTTAATATGTATCTTTACTTAATTGGATACAAACAACACTCTTACAATGTTCATAACTGGAAAATGATATACATAGCATAGTGAATACAAAAACCTACAAGTACAGTAACTTATAAAATCACACAACACAAGTACAACAAATATACCATGATGAATACAAAACCATCCAATAAGAATTCATTAATACAATCTGAAATAGCATCACTATCTAAAGTATAAAAATATCCTTAATTTACTGAATACATACCAATGTACATACCTAGAAAAGGGTGATTCCAAATATGTGGTATTTTATCAAAACTAACAAAATATCCACAACAATATTTTGATCGTCTCTTCCATCATTTTAGCAGCGGATCCTACATTATCCGCTATTTCTTGAGTAATACGTAGGTTAAATGATGGAAAATCTCTAGAAAATTGTTGATTAAGTTGGATACCTCTAGTAATTCTCTTAAATTCTGCCACTGAAGAATGATTTGGAGTTTATCAAACCCTAAACGTGATTTCAACTACAGACAACAATTTTGAACGATTTAAAAAAAAATCATAAAACAAATCTTATATGCATATCTTAATTAAAGGGATTGTGTGAATATCTTTATCAAATATATTTTCCAATTTCTGGAAAAAAAAAAAAAACCAACAAGAAGGAACAGAGAGAGACAAACTTTGAAATGGAGAAGAATTGGAAGATGAAAATATGAGAGAGAAAATATTCACTTTTTTTTAAACATATGAGAGAGAATTAATTGAAAATTGTGTAATTAAGGTGAAATAAAATAGGAAGTAAATTAGGATACACAATCTTTTCTAAAATAATGATATTTTGACATTTTTACTAATATTTATAAAGTATGGAGGTTTTACTAATTAAGTTAGATTTTTTTGACTAGTTTGCTAATTTTCCCTGCTATTTATTGCCCTAAACAACTTTTCTAGTGTGTTAATTTATTGTTTTAGTTTTTACTCCCAAATTGCTTAGCTTAAAAATCAAGAAAATGACTTCCTTAAATAAATATTTGAAGTATCGTAGATTTTCATTACACATTAACCCGATTAATTCAAAAACATATAGTCGTTAAACGGAAAAAAGCTTCTGATCATGAATTTCTCTATTCTCAAAACATAAATCTAAAATTTTAAATAAGAGTGGAGGAATCTCATCATCCATGAATAGTATAAGCAATAAGTTGGTATTTACCTAGTTAATTCTTATTATTTATTTAAAATTTTATAAAAGAATAAGTATTTCACATATAATATATTAGAATTACGCAAAATTACCTAAGTAAAAATTTAAATAGTTAACAATAAGCGATTCATTTATACTTGTGTTTACACACAACCAACAAAAAAATTAGAATGACAATGTTTGTTAGTGAACTTGTTTAGCAAATAAAGAGATTCTGATTGCAAGTTAGTGTTTGCGAAATTAATAACAAAATTGAAATCTGAACTAGAAACAATAAAATTGGCTTAGGCTTAAAAGCAAGCCTTTGTGCCAAACATTGTTAAAGCCTTAAAGGTGCTTTATGCATGACAATACAGCCAAAAGCCAGAAAAAGAAAATAAAATAGACCCCGTCAAACAGGGGCATCTTAATATATTTGGTATTTTTAATTTAAAATTTAAATTTTTTTATCAAATCAAAATAGGAAAAACTATAAAAAAAAATATAAGAAATTAATTTGAGATCCAATTTCAAATCTAATAATCTAATAAAATTAATGTTCATAATCTATAAATTTAAAATTCTAACACTCTGTTTGGATCATTGTTACCCATTGTTTCATAATGTATTGTATTGTATTATATTGTACTGTATTGTATGATAGATACAATATTTGGCTAGACTATATTGTTTGTTGTTGTTTAATAACATTTTAATTGCTTGGTTTGATTATATGTACTGTATTATAATTTATATATTTACTAAAATATCCTTAATTATTCTAGGATAAGAGGTTTGACTAGAATTAAATAATATAAGGTAAAGGGTAAAATAGTAATTTGAAATATTATGTAAAGATATAATTGAAAAAAGAAACTAAGTAACAATGGAAACACACTAAATCGGTTATTCTATAAAATAGGAGTTTCATGGTTACATAACAACGAAATTTAACAATATAATACAATACATTTTAAGTAACAATTAAAATAAAAATTATATGTATAGTAACGATTTAATACAATACAATGGATAACAATGATCCAGAGGGTAATAGTCTACCCACTAACCAGAAGAATATATATAAGAAGTTACTCAGTAGCTTAGGCTAAACTAAGCTAAAGATACAAATTACAACCATGGGAATCGTGTGCCCCGATGAGAGCAAGAGGATTGAGATCGAAGAGTTTCGCCGGATGCTGCTATCTAACGCGGCGGTGCACCGGACAAAGGCCGGCGATGAATTCCAAAACCCAGGGAAATTGCCTGCTGCAAATCGACACAACCGTGAGCTTGAAGAGAAGAAGGTGTGCGTCACCAGTGGCGTATCCTTCCTTGGTATCGCCATCGTCAATCAACTCTTACTCCGTGGCTACTCTGTACGAGTCATCGTGGAAAAACAAGGTGTCATTTCTTCTCTTATAAGTATTTTTACTCATTCTAAATTACCGGAGAAAAGCAAAGATAGTGTGGATTTGGCAATTGATTTCCGGTGTGCTTCAGTCATCAACGCTTGTCACAATTCGTATGGTTTTTACTGGAACCGGGTGATTTCCGGTTTAATTTTCGTTTTCTTACTGATTTGATTTGATTTGATTTAGGTTTTTACAATTCATATGGTGGTTTGATTTCGTGTTTTAGAATGCTATATAATAAGTTCATCCTTTGGTGACTTCGCCTACTCTGTTTAAACTCAATTCGAGATAATTCCTAATATGTTATAAGTGCAGAGGATCTGGAAAAGCTAAGAGAGATGGAAATTTCTGGAGAAATGAGACAATCGATGAACACTGTAGAGGCAGTAATGGCGAGGCTGAATGATATCCAAAGCCTATCGCAGGCATTCAGCGGTTGTCGCGGTGTCTTCCACACTGCTGCCTTCGTGGACCCTGCTGGCCTATCTGGATATTCAGTAAGTCTTCCCACACAGTTTATGACACCAGAAAACATGGAAACGCATTTCTTATGATTTTATTTTAATAGTAATAACCAAAATTGAGTAGAAAAATTCGGTACAGTTTGTTAGAGAAGAGATCACAATTCCATCCACACTGCTAACTTTCAGCGCACAGTGCAATTCCCTTTCTTCCATTAACTCTAATGAAGGAAAAATTACCATTCCCTCCAAAGGTAAATACTTATCCGCACCAGACTATCTGTCAATACTTATACATATGACATGTATTTATTAGTTTGGGATAATATTTTAACTTAAATTTTCGCAATATAAACATTATGATATGTATAGGTTATAGTATTAGTGATAAGGAGTGGGTAGATTCTTTGTTCAAAACAAAATAGAAAGATGTTGACATCAGATGTATAAGTAATACGTAATTTTTTGGGGAAATTATTATTTTTCACCACTTTGAATCGACACCTACTCTTTGACGATGTTATTCTGATTATTATGATTGACGGAGCCTGAGTGCTATATGTCCCACACTCGCACCATGTCCATGTCAACTTCGATGTACACTACTACTTTTCTAGAATAAATGTCCCTATTTCATATGTGGCCCATTCCAACACCGGTAGTCTGGTCAAACATGGGCTACAGTGTAAAAGTCTCATTAATTATTGAGTTTATTAGCGCTTTTGGCAGCGATTATAATTAGCTATGCTACCAAAATAAAATGAACCATTTTCTGATATTTTAGTCATTTGTTAAGCACTTGCCTAACCTTATGTTACTAAGTTATGTGGTCCTTACGTTTATTTTGGAGGCGAAGTCTTGATTTGATTGTTACTCTTTTATGTAGAAATCAATGGTTGAAGTAGAAGTGTTGGTAACTAAGAATGTGACTCAGGCATGTGCAATAACACCCTCGGTCAGAAATTGCGTGCTCACATCCTCTCTTGTAGCCTGTGTATGGCAAGATATTAACTCTTCAAGAACAATTGATCATGATTGCTGGAGTGACGAGTTTATCTGCATAGACAAGAAGGTATTAAGTTATTTTATTTGGCGTTCTCTACCTACCCCCACTCCCATGCCCCACAAAAAGACTTCAATGTCACACATGTTAAAAAAAGTAAAATAAGACAAATGTAGGGTATGGTCCTCGTAAGATGATTGATATTCCTCCGCCTTTAATCAAATGTTTCATATTTTAGTAGTAGAAAAACTTTAAATAGGGAGTGGTAGTAGAATATCATCCATTAGTGAGCTGACCCAACGTGAGCTCTCTTATTGATTATAAATACTAAATAATTTGAAAAAGAAAAATCGTAGCAGCCCATTGAATAAGTACAGTTAATGATTAAAACAAGTTCTAACTTTACCAATCAGTACTCATTGTAAATAGTTAGCTCGAATTCCTTTTCAAGTAATATATTATTTGCGATAATTGCATTTTAGGTGAATCATTTCTACATGGTTAGTCCATTGAACTTAAAAATGTTAAGATAACAACGAAGCAACCACTAGTTCTCCACTAGACTGAAAATTAACAACCCATTAAAAGCTTATAATAGACCCTATCAGCTCCTTGCACGTTGCAAGATTAAAAGGGATTTCCCCCCTTTATTTTACTGTACATAATCAGCGCTAACTTAGTGCTGTTGTTTCTGTGGATATTAAATAACGTTATACTTGAACGAAAATTTGCAGCTATGGTATGCTCTGGGTAAGCTAAAGGCAGAAAGAGTAGCGTGGAACATAGCTAGGGAGAGTGGATTCAAACTAGCTACTATATGTCCTGGTCTAGTGACTGGTCCTGAATTTATCAGCAGAAATCCAACCCCTACCATTGCCTATCTTAAAGGTGATTATTAAGTAAATAAAACTAATTAGTAATATTTCTGAACTTTGAGCTAATAATTCCTAGTATGTGATTTCCAGGAGCTCAAGAAATGTTTAGAAACGGACTACTAGCGACAGTAGACGTTAACAGATTAGCAGTAGAACATGTACTGGTGTTTGAGGATATGAAGAACACATCATACAACAGATACATTAGCTTTGATCAAGTTATTAGGAGTGAAGAGGAACTTGAAAAATTAGCAAGAGAGACCGGAATAGATATTAGGACGACGAGATCAAACTCGAGGACTAATTCCTCAAACATTGTCAAATTGTCAAATGCAAAGCTTTGCGGCTTAATGTCTACAATACATAGATGTCATAACGAGTTCTAGTTCAAATCAATAGACTTATTTTACATACTGAATACAGAATCTCCTTTCCCTTTCTTCTGTATTTAACAACTTAAGTAAGAGTCAAGTATGATTTATTCTCTTTGAGTTCGTCAAGTATGATTTATTCTCTTTATGTTCGTCAAAATTATGTAAATTGAAGTGCCTCTGTTATATAATAGTTCACACTGTTTTATTTTGGGAGAAACTAATTCAGATTTCGTAAGAAGGGACAAATAACAACACGAAACACGTTTAACCCTAGTGGCGTTCTAATGATTTCACCTTACATCAAGTTGGTCACCTTTCAACTTTAATAATTTATCCACGAAATCATGTGGTGCTGCATTTTTCAAACAAGAGCTTTATTAACAGTAAAAAAGAAAACCACTTAATTTGACTTCAAATTATTTATTCAGATGGTTCCACAAGTTCAATTATTCAGATTACTGACTCTAGTAACCTCAACAATGACAATATCTGCAGGTAGTAACTTTCCCTCACTGCCAAATAAGTGTTTGAATAAACAAAAAGGTTGGATTAATATAGTAAGGTTAGAAATATTTGCGGTGGCATTGGGAGAAAAAAAAAAACCTATAACAAATGGAAAATACTGTGTTTTCATTAAAAATGAATCAAATTACACAGATCATGAATTTAATTCGTTATAATCCAAAACATTAAAAAGAAACGGGGGTCTGGTTCAAGTAATTAAATAAGTTATTTAAATATGTGAGGATTAAATATACCAATATTTTGATAGACAATTTCAAAAGAATTTAATTTGCCTAATTGATTATAAATTACTATAAGAAAGAAAAAATGTACTAAAGCTTACTAGACCAGCTTCAGAGATTAGTTAAAATCTCAGCAAATCTGAAGAGCAAAAGCAATTTTAATTTATGAGCAGATTAACACCTCCCTTTCCATATCCTTTTATAGGAAGAAAAGGGGGCTGCCTGAATTTCCACTCAATACATAAAAAAATAAAAGAAGAGGAAAAAGGGAATTAGGGTTAAGAAAAGGCTCAGATAGTTTGCTTAATTTGCTCAGCGAAGAGCTTTTTGAAGGCTCTTCTCATACAAGAGGTGTCAGAAATAAAAAAGCACCATCATCAAAGCCCTCAAAATACAAATAAACGAAAAAAAAAATCAAATCAAATCATATAGCAACTTAATTGTTGCAGTGACGAACTCAATGCAGCAATTTACATACAATGAAAGTGGAAGATGGAAAGGGTACTTATACAAGAACCAGCACGGCATTAGGGTTTTGACTTACCTTATGGGCCCTGCAGCCCAATAGTCCACTATACTCTGAGCCCGATTCATTTCACTTTACTTATGGGCCCAAACTTATTGCAAGGATTGACAATTTAATTGGGACAAATTACTAAAATACACAACACTTCTTTACCTATTATCAATATTTCTCATTTGCCTAATTTTTACATTTAATTGTATGAAATAACAAACTATTAATTCAATTTAAATATTATAGTCATAGTTTATTTTAATTATAATTCGCAGCAAACATCTCATTTTTTTGCCATTTGATTCGGTATACAATTAGCCATTTTCGGTATACAATTAGTCATTTTATATATTTCGGTATAAAATGTATAAAATGCGTTTGTGTTTGTATAAAGCGAGAGAAAAGTGTATATACAAATACAAATATATATATTTTCGTCTTATACACTTATAATTATACAAATACAGATCTTATTATAGAAATTACAATGAATAAATAATTTTATACAAAATTGAACAATTTGTATAAAATTGAATGTTTGTAGCAAATTATACAAATCAAAAGCTCCATAGCAAACATAAAATTTGTTATGGAGCGCAATTATGCAAATTATAGCTATAACATATAAATATGATTTTTATGTTTGTTATATGTGAAAGTTTTGAGAAAATTGTATGAAATAGCAAACTATTAATTCAAATTAAATTTTATAGCCATAATTTCTTTTATTTGTAATTTGTAGCAAATATTCCATTTTGTTGCCATCCCATTTGTATATCGAAATATACAAATGCAGGACCCATTTGTATACCGAAATATACAAATAGACCAAAATATACAAATGCATAACCCATTTGTATACCGAAATATACAAATGCATAACCCATTTGTATACCGAAATATACAAATGCAGGAACCATTTGTATACTGAAATATACAAATGCAAAACCCATTTGTATACCGAAATATACAAATGCAAGACCTATTTGTATACCTAAATATACAGATAGACTCAGATACATATTTTTTATGTATATGTATACCGAAATATACAGATTAATAGCCATAGCAAACATAAAGTTTGTTATAGAACATAATTATACAAACTATAGCTATAGCATACTAATATGATTTTTATGTTTGCTAAACCTAAAATTTGATCCTTAAACTTTTAATTTTGTGGCTCGTTTAGTGATAAGTTCTGGGATAAAGTATTTTTGTTAGTATTTAATTCAAAAGATATAAGTTTACAGAATTTTAGTATTATCCAGCAGAAAAGTAGAGAACTTAGGCATAAATAACTTTGTGGATTCTGAATTTAAACTAATGCCTCTATCAACATAAATTCGATAGGAATTAAGTTATATCATGTAAGAAATGATTTGTAGATTATGAAATTCTTCATGCATAACGTTCTAAACATGAGCTTATATCTCTATTTGTATAATTTTTTTAGGAACTAAGTTCAATAGAAATCAACGATAGAACTTGTTTTGTATAAATTTCTATCTACCTTTTTTTATGTTGTTTTTTTGAATGTTAGGGTACTTTTTTAATAAGCGAAAAAATTAAAGACCACACCAAATTAGGGTCATTCGTCCTAATATGCCAGTGTTGATTAGTTTGTAAGAATCTCATGATTGTCCTATTAGGGGCGGGAATAAATACGGAAAATCAAAAAATCGAATCGAACAGAACTTAATCGGTTCATCAGTTTCGATTTTTTGATTCGGTATTGATGTTATTTTTTCATTAGTTTGAATTCTTCAGTTCGGTGTTTGATGTAAGGGTCTCAAAACTTCGGTGCACCGAAGAACCGAACTTTTATTTAAAAATAATAAAATAATAATAATAAAAATAATAATAATAAAAAAAAAAAAAAAAAAAAATATATATATATATATAAATATATATATATATATATATATATATACATTCTTTTAACTACGAATAAAGAGTCAACTAACAATTAAATCATTCACGAACAAATCAAAGTAGCAAGAAATGTACAATTCAATAGTTAATTTCAAATATTAATTCTCTAGAGGAACCAAAACATATTTTTATCAATGTACGTTATGTAAAAGAATCCATCTCCGTCCTTGTTTTTCTTGAGAAGTAGTTGGATGCACAATGTTCTTGACAAAGATAAATATAGTCTCTTAGTTAGCACAATAGCATTCAATGGCCAGACACAATATTCCCAACATACTTTTAAAATTTTAAGTATCTTATACATTGATTTTATTCTCATTTTATTTTTCATTCACATCAAAAAACTGATTTAAAAATACTGAACTAAACCGATGTAGAAAAACCGAATCGGACCGAATTGGTTTGGTTTTGTATACAGTGCACATTTTTCTAAAACCAAAAATCGAAGAACCGAACGCCCACCCCTAATCCTATTTGGACACCATTATTTAATAGGTAATCACTTTTTTTTTTTATTTAGCATGATTACTCACTTCGAAATTACTTCAAACTTGACTTAACTTCTTTGATTGTAGGTTTAAAGTTATTTCAAAGTAACAGATTTTCACATGAATATAATTATGTACAGTTGGCCAAATTTAAACTTGTGACCGTGCTTTTTGAATTTCAAATAAAAGAGTTAAATGAACGAATTAGACTAAATTTGAATGAGTTAAAATATATCGACTTAATTAACTAACATAAAATTAGCTTTAAAAAGTTGGTTTAGCTAAAAATCCGCTTGGACATGACACGCCCAACTAAGAAAAAGTTATGTTGTGCAACCTAAAAATTATTCAACGGAAAAGGGTAAAAAATATCCCTGTATTATTCAAAAAGGTTTAAAAATACCCCTCATCCATCTATTGGGTTAAAAATACCCTTCAGTCAATCTTTTTGGTTTAATATTACCCTTTAAACTAACAACCTTCTATATTTTAATTAATATATTTAATAATTATTACATGGCGTCTTTCTATTGGATAAAGTTAATTTCCAACCCACCAAACTTTCTCCTACCCACTTGACCCATATTGACATTTCTTGACCCAAACCCAATTAAAAGATCCATCTAAAATAAAAATAGAATCTCTTCTCCCCTGAACCTAATTTCTATGTGGCAACTTTTCCTTTATCTCTTAATTCTTCATCATAAGCTTCTGTTTTCTTGATTCTATGGTTTATCGATTAGGTTTGTCAATGTGGTTGTTTAAAGATTTAATCTTTTTTGTTTCATGAACATACATTTCGTTGTTGGTGTTTGTTAATCTGATGAAATTCATGTTAATTGTTTGTTATCGATGAATTTATTTAAATGGGTCATCGTTAATTTCTGCTCTAAATAAGCTTAAATCTGAGCATCTTCTTTGTCGCCGAAAGCCGAAAACTTGAGTGAATCCTTCATCGTGAGCTTCTGTTTAACTGATTCTGTAGTTTATGGATTTAGATTGTTAATGTGGTTGTTCAAAATTTAATCTTTTTTATTTCATGAACATACATTCCGTTGTTGGTGTTTGTTAATCTGTGAAATTCATGTTAATTGGTTTAGAAGGAGAAGAGATGATATCTTTTTTATTTGTGATAGTATTTTTTAATTGGGTTTGGGTCAAGAAATGTCAACATGGGTCGGGTGGGTAGGAGAAAATTTGATAGATTGGAATTAACTTTATCCAATAGTAAGACACCACGTAATAATTATTAAATATAATAATTAAAAAATATAAGGTTGTTAGTTTAAAGGGTAATATTGAACCAAGAAGGTTGACTGAGGGGTATTTTTAATCCAATAGGTGGATGAGGGATATTTTTAAACCTTTTCGA